TTCGAAAAGATCAACCGCAAATGCATCCAACAAAGCTTTTTCGATATCCACGGCGGAGGCTTTCTCGTTTTCGCTAAGTTGTTCATACAAAGCAAATGCATCTCCTTCCAGAAATAACGGAATTATTAACGACAGATCTCCCATCTTTTGAAGCTCTCCGACCAGCTTGACTTTTTTCAGCCACACAACAACATCGCCAGACCCATCAAATTTTCCGATCATTTTTGCCATGGATGACATATTGCCGAAATAGCTTGTAAAACGACAACTATCTTTACTTTTTATGAACTCTGTTCTTTTTCATACTATTTACAATTTTTATACATTTCGTCAACATCAAAAGCTCCCTTGGGATAATTATGTACAAACAAAAAGTAAAAAAGAAATTACGACATATTTACACTAAGGATTTGTAAACGCTATTAAATTATAATAGCGTTTACAAATTAGCTATTAACAATTTAGAGGTCAATATTTTCTTTATTTTAGGAAATGAGGACGAAGAATCATTAGATTGTTCATCACGGCATGACAATCTTTTTTTCTTTACTTTTAAAGAAACAATGGATTCATTATGCTCTAAAACAGATCAGATATAGATATCATTAAAAAAGCCAGCAAAACAGTAACAAGGTTAAATAAATCTTTTGATTTTTTATGTTTTAATTTTTTTTTGAAAAAAAATAAACTTAAAGTCATACCTTTAAATAAAGAGATATCTTTTAAAGATGCTTTAATCTTAGAGCTGTTTAATTTAACAGGAGCAGATTCTTCTTCTGAACTGTTCAAATCTTCAAAATTACTGCTCTGAACTACAAACTCAGAGCATGCACTAATCATGCGTCGCAATCCTTGTTCATAGCTTTCTATAATGTAAATAAGTAACTTTATTAATGACAATATTAAAGTTATAATGCATTTAAAATTGATTACATAAAGAGTTTCATTACATACCTTTTAATTAAAATAATTTCAAAACCTTTCCACAAAACTTCTGGTATAAATGACATTTTACTCATATTTTCTAGTACATGATACTCGTTTTCAGATGGGTATTTACAGAATTATTTGTCTCTGTATGTTATTTAAAATTTTATAAATTATAAAACAAATTTTGCTATTATCACTTTTCTTTAATTTACTGTTACTAAAGCTTTAGTAACAGTAAATTAAAGAAAAGTGATAATAGCAAAATTTGTTTTATAATTTATGAAATTTTAAACAACATACGGACTGATAATCAAAATTTACCAAGACAAAGATGAAAAAACCCAGTAATATAGACCTGTTTTTAAAAGAACATTTAACAATAGTTTTAAATAAGAATTTGCTGCATTTTTTAAAGTGAATGGTAAAGGTGAATTACTGTTTCCGATAATTAATTATCGTAAAAGAAACATGTGCTTGAATTCTGGCACATTTGCGGGCATTGGTAATGTGGCCTCTGTATGGAAATTAGCCGGAAGAGGATAAACCACAATACCAAACTCATCATTATAACAGGTTTAAGTTGTTGAGCAAAACTATTTGTTTCGAGAAGTTTCGCAGAACAACTTAAATCCGTGTTTGTTAAAGCTTCAATAACCACAGTAATGTTTTATTGAGTTGACCAGTTAATAAATGGACTACAGTTATCGATAAAAAAAAAAAATTCCAAAAAGAGAGTTAAAAATTAAAAAAAAAAATCGTTGTTATTGTTTGATGTCTTGGCGCGCAAGTGTAATACAACATTTGACTGCAAATGTAAAATAGTCAATGATAATTTGTGAATGCAAGTGTTCTAATTCCATTATTTAAAAATGTGAAAAAAATTTATCAGTATTGATAGTGAAATTCCAGAAATTAACCGCAAATTAGTCTTTTACTAAATAAAGTTATGGACCCAGCAATTGAGAGAAATGCTTTTTTTGCGCATCTAAAAAACTTGCTTTAAACAATGGTTGTAGAAAAACGGGTCTATAAGAAATCAAATCATAAGCAAGAAATGTAATTTCTTAAGATAGTTTATCAGGAGTTTTTAACCCCCTAAAATTAATTTCCTACACAGAGATAGTTGCAGGACCGCCGAGAGCCGTCACGCCGCCTGGGACATCAACCCTGATTGGCGCCCTTATTTATCGAAATTCCCCTGTATTATAAATGAAAGACCTAATTTTTTTAGGTACCTTCTTTTTATTTGGTGCCCTTTGGATATATGCCGCCCGAGACAAACTGTCTCTTTCGTCCCCTCGCGGCGGCCCTGAATAGTTTACTGGAACACTACTATGCTTTTCCACTATCTATGCTGAGTCTTTGATGAAGATATTTGATTAAAGATCTAATCAGTTGAAACAACGAATGAAGTTACACTCAAGGAGTAGAACGGACGCGTGAAGTTGTAACAGAGGTTTCACAATGAGTTGTTGGTTTCAATTCCAGAGATGGAGTTATAAAAATTGGACATATTTCTAAATGCTCAAGGGTTGATATTTTAAGCAAATCATATTTTAAAACAAACAAACAAAAATTTTACTAAAATATTAAAAAATATATAAACAATACCCTTAAACCAATCATATTTATATATACGTTATCGCATATAAATCTACAAAACTAAAACTTGGTGCTTAATTATAATATAATTATTAAAAAATATACTTTTTTAAGAATAATTGAACCTGTCTTTTCGAAAAGGGCACAAGTCCATTTACTAAAACTTTTCAAAATCAACAAAAAAATTATTTTTATTAAAATAATGTCTAGGCTGCTTAAGAAATTAGGCATAGAAGTAGATAAATAAAGAATGTATGTAAATTATGTAATTTTTATTTTTTATAAAAAAAAAAAACACAAATCATACATTTTTTAGTTCAAACTTATAAATTAAATGTTAAAAGGTTTGGACTTGTGTCCTTTTCGAAATGGCAGGTTCAATTATTGTGTCTACTATTTTTGTACTTTGGATGCCAGTGACAATGTTTAGCCACAAAACTAATGTATTTACACTGTTAATTTATTCATTTATCTATACTAGTTTTGAAATTGGATTCGTGCAGAAAAATTGGAAAAGCAGTAAAAAAGCAAAAATTTTTAACTACAAGAACACGTGCATGAAAACAACGAACATGTTCAAAAAAAAAAAAAAAGTTAATTCGCTATTAAATTAGAGTAATATACTGAAATTTGAAACTATTTTTTTTCAGGGGAGAATCGTTAATTAATTTATAAAAAAATAAAAAAAAACAGCGTCTTTAACTAAGGGAACGTATCAAACTATGTTAATTTTTTGTTTTTTAAAAAAAAGTTTCTTTCTCATAGTTGTTAAGTTATCACAATTTCATTACATTATAAACGTAATTTTAGATTGAAATTTCAATTTTAAATAGATTTTTCTTTAGTTTTGATGATATCAATAAAATGTTGATTAATATAACTAATAATGTATTGTTTAGGTAAATTATCAAGCATGATTGATCATATTATCTTTTATTTTAACAGGCTTGTGAAATTTTCACATTATATGCATCGTGTAATTTTAAATTTCTGTTTCATATTAGAGACGCATATTAAATTTTTCATTAGTAGGAGTGGGAAGTTCAGTATTCGTCATCCCTTAGTACCGCGTAAACGAAGCGATAAATAATGTTATTTTACTCATATTATTTTACTAGACAGTTTGGAAAGTTGTAAGTCATGTAAATGAGGTTTAAAATAAAAAATATATATACTTAAAAATAGAATTAAATAGATTGATAAGTTCAAATAAACCAAGTTCGGTTTATCTCTTCAAATAGAGAAGTTTAAATAAGAATAAGAAGAAACATTTTCTCATGAGTTTGTGACGTCTTTGTTATCGAAAGATGGTCGCATGTTTACTGGGCCGTATGTTTAGTTTCTGACAGAAGTTCTGGTTAAGGATGAGTTAGTTTAATATTATTCTGCTGTAAAAGTTGCTTGCACTACTTGAAAATTTAAACTTTAAAAATTATGATTATTGGTTTATTAAAAAGATTAGTAATTTGATTTGCAGCAGATATACATATATATATGTATAGATACACTGAATGTAAAATTTAGTTGAAGTTTTTGAGTTATATATCGAGTCGGCTTGTCCTAGGCTCCTGGAGCCAGTTTAGATTCGGCATTTCATGCATATATATATATATATATATATATATATATATATATATATATATATATATATATATATATATATATATATATATATATATATATATATATATATATATATATATATGTATATATATATATAAATATATATATATATATATATATATATATATATATATATATATATATATATATATATATATATGTATATATATATATATATATATATATATATATATATATATATATATATATATATATATATATATATATATATATATATATATATATATATATATATATATATATATATATATATATATATGCTTTTAGATGATTATCTTTGATTTATACCATTTTTAATTAAATAAATGTAAATGTACACTCTCAACATGTTCTATCTATTTAGGTCAATTGATGTATACTCACTCCCTGCATGTTCTACCTATTTGAGTCAGTCTATCTATTTTCACTTGGCTGCATTAGTCCCTCAATATTTCAGTCGATAAGACAAAAATAAATAACCAATTAAATTTAAAAAAACAAAGTTAAATAACAAAAACAGAAAAAAAAATTAAAATAGTCTGAATTAAAAAAAAAAAAATTTTCTCTTTTTTTTTTTTTTACTTAAAGTGCTTGTAATTTTGTCAAATTTAACTAACAAACAATTTAAGAGCAGTTTTTTTTTTATAATCTTAAAAAGTAGTCATATATATGTATACATGTGTATATATATATATATATATATATATATATATATATATATATATATATATATATATATATATATATATATATATATATATATATATATATATATATATAAATTATATATATATATATATATATATATATATATATATATATATATATATATATATATAATTTTTTCTTTTAGTTTTTCACAAAATGATCCTAAAGTTAAAAACTGTAAATAATGAGTGAATATACTGACGATGAGGATAGTGCGAAAGTCAGAGCAGCTATAGTTGAGAGATATCGAAGAGGTCCACAAGGACCAGTTGATCCATGGGAAGATGCAAGCTTTATTGTCTATCAAGTTATGGATCATTATGGTTTTCTCCATAAAAATCCACTGCCTGTTATTCGAGATCCAAGGATGGAGGAAATTGAACTTGAACGTGCAGGTAAATGGATAAAGATGTTTTCTAATTGGAAAAATTACTTTAATGGAGACAAACCTTCAGAAAAACTGAGACGTAGAATTTATAAAGGTATCCCACCTCGTGTGCGCGGGGAAGCTTGGAAAAAAATTTTGAATTTACAAAATGTTGCAAAAAAAGGTGTTTATGAAAAGTTTAAAAAAGTTGCTTTGGAAAATAGTCCTGATATAAGACAAATAGATTTAGATGTTAACAGAACTTATCGTGATCATATTATGTTTCGTGATAGGTTTGGAGTTAAACAACAAGCATTATTCAATGTTTTAGCTGCTTATTCAATTTATAATACAGAAGTTGGATACTGTCAAGGAATGAGTGGAATTGTAGCTTTATTACTTATGTATATGGATGAAGAGGCTACATTTTGGGCTTTGTCTGAACTATTGGCTGATCGTAAACATGCTATGCATGGATTATTTGTACCTGGTTTCCCAAAGCTTATACGTTTCCAAAATCACCACGACAAAGTAGTTAAAAAACTTCTTCCAAAACTCGGAAAACATTTAGAAGAAGAAAATGTTAATACAAATTTATATACACTTAAATGGTTTATGCAATGCTTTTTAGATCGATTACCATTTTCTTTAGTTTTAAGAGTTTATGACATTTATATGATTGATGGAGATCGTATTTTAACAGCTATGGCTTATCATATTCTAAAGATATTTAGAAAAAGAATCATGAAAATGGATTTTGAGAGTATTGCTCCTTTTTTACAGGAGGAAATTCCAAATTCAAACTTAAATGATGATTTGGTTTTAGAAGAATTACAGGAATCAATGAATGAATTAAAAAAAGCAAAACTAGATGTCTGTCCTCCACCTTCTAGTAGCGAGCTTCCTACTAAAGTTCTTGGTACACTTCCTGATAGAAATTCATTTATAACGGCTTCTAAGCGTGCACGAAGCTCAGGTGATCGTAAAAGTATTGTTGAGGTTCCAATTGGGCGTCCTCCATCACCAGTTTTGTCATCTAATAATATAGTAACCGTTTCTGGTTATGAGAAGCCAAATAATCAAAAGTCATCAAGTTTTAAAAACAGTGCAGATCGAAAAAAGTTAAAAGAAAGTAGTAGTAAAATTTTAGAAAATGGAATAAATTCAACCAGTCCACCTAGGAATGTTCAAAAAGATACTAGTTTGCAGAAAAATGGACAAAATAGTCATTCAAATTATGATGAAGAAATTTATCGAAAATTTCCACAACATTTTGAAGAAAAGAAACACGAAAATGGTTATGCAAAAAAGATTGCAGCTATACCTCTTCCAGATTATTCAGATGACTCTGAGTATGAAAATGACGATGCTCACTCTAAGAAAGTTTCTGGAAGTAATAATAGAGTTGCATTAAGTTCTGGTTATGCCACTCAAACACATTTATAATTAAAGAAGAATGGTGTTTATGTATTCTTATATATAATAAACTATATTACTGAGATTTTCACTCAAATTTTTGATCTTATTGCAATTGAAAATAATTATTATCAAATTCAATTTGTTTTATATTTTCATAAAAACTTAAAATAGTTATTTCTTTTGGAAATGTTTTTCTAAGATTTTATGTTAAAAGCTAACTTAACTACTAAAATTATTACATGTGGACTATATATAGTATATTATATATATATATATATATATATATATATATATATATATATATATATATATATATATATATATATATATATATATATATATATATATATATATATATATATATCATATGTATATGTATATATATATATGCATATATCGTAGATATTGTATATTATAAAATTTATATATATATGTGTGTATATATATATATATATATATATATATATATATATATATATATATATATATATATATATATATATATATATATATATATATATATAATATTTGTGTATATATATATATATATATATATATATATATAATATTTGTGTATATATATATATATATTTATATATATATATATATATATATATATATATATATATATATATATATATATATATATATATATAATTATATATATGTTTGCAACTAATTCTTAATCAAAATAATTTGTTTTATTTTCTCTATGAAAGTTTTTCAGAATTTTTTTTGTAAATAGTAAAATGCATTTGTTATTTTAATAATGTTTGAAAGTTTTTATATTCAATATTTTAAAGGTTGAAAATTTGTATAAATTGTATTTTTGTTTTATGTCCTATCTTTATTATTTTAAAAGATATAATACTAATATATAAAATTAAGTATAAATAATGAAATCAAGAATCCTGAGTCATAATAAGTAGTGTTTACTTTAGGTTAGAAAATATTTTTTGATGCAGATAATTATCTTTATATATATAAAAAATCTGTATTGTTTACAGTTGAAGAAATTTAATGTAAATGATTTTGAAATTAATATTTTTATTGTTAGTTACAGGTAGGCTAATAGTTTAAAAGCTGTTGGATTAAAAGGTCATCATAAGAAAATGCAAGGTAGGTCATCAAAAACTGTAAAGACATTTTAAAGTTTTTGATGACCTACCTTGCATTTTCTTTATAAAATGATTTTATTACCTGTTTAACTGTATTATTTTATACTAATATGTACTCGTATATCTAGTGAAATAGTTTGAAACAGTTTGAGACTTATTTAAAAAAAGATTTTAGGTGCAGCTGAATGCTGAAGAAAGTAAGATTTTGTTTAATCCTTAATATTATTTTTATTATAAGTTATTTCAAAGTTTATTATAATGAAATTAAGATTTCAAAATTTATTGTGATTTCAAGAATTCCAGAAATTCCAAATACAAATTCTAAAATCAATGTGATTGTTTTCAAGAATTCCAGAAATTTCATTTGATTTTAAAGAAAAAAAAAGTATTTAATATTAATGTACATTATAATAAATACATTTATTATATATTTTTTAGAAAATGCAATATTTTTAATTCATGATATGTTTTGTAGATACATGTTTATACATTAATATAATAATAATTTTTATGCACATTTAATTTGCAAATAAAACTCTGGTACGCAGTCTGATTTATACAACATTTTTAAAAGTTTAATTGTAGTTTAAATATTTTGAAATCTTAACTAAATCTTAACTAATCTTAACTACAAAGCATGTCAAAAAATTACTGTGGTTTTCTTTATAAAAAATTTACATTTATTATATTATATTTTCATAAATAATTTCCTATGATAAAAATTTTTTGGTATTGGACAACATTACTTATTGTTGGTTTCAACAATGTTTTCAATCTTGCTTTTAGTACATTGTAATTTTAGTTTTCAAGTCTTGTTTTTATTTGCAAATTTATACAGTTGGAAGCACTTAGATTGGTCAGATAACTAAATAAACAGGTGTCTGACCGCTTGATGTGTTTCCATCATGAATAAATATTATTTTTACTAATTAGATGTCTGTTTTGTAAAAAGCAAAAGCTTTGTGAAAACTTTTTTAAATTAAAAAGTTTACACCAAGTTATTCTTTTTATTTTTATTTTTTTTATATATATTCTCTTTAAATATTTCAAGGTATTAGTTAAAAAATTTTTTTTTTGAATTAAATTTAATTGTTTGTATTTATTATAGTTTTTTACATTTATTTTCATATTTTATATTTTTATATGTTTTTATGATAGGATTTAATAGTATCTATTATATCATGTTTAGATAGGCATATGCTTACTAGTTTTGCTTATTTTATAGCATACAGCTTTTTTAGAAAAAGAATTAAAATACAAAGAAAAGTAAAAGAAAATAAAACCACCCTATGCCCAGTAAATATAGCGGCTATCCTTTGAAGCAGCAGGCTATAAAATAGTCAATGTATTGAAGCCCCTAGCAGCAGGCTTTTTCAGTGTGACATCAGTGCTTATCTAAACAAGCATTTATAGTTATATATTTTTATATCTTAATATATATATATATATATATATATATATATATATATATATATATATATATATATATATATATATATATATATATATATATATATATATATATATATACTTAAATTTAAAAAAAACAACTTTTAATGGAACTTAAAGTTTCATGCCTATCGGCAATCATCAGCCATGAAATAAAACGCTTTGTTTTTGAAAAACTAAATATTTCTTAAATATTGAGCACTCTACAACGATCAAGAGTTTAGTATTTTTAATACTAAATCATACAACAACAATATATATATATATATATATATATATATATATATATATATATATATATATTTAATCTTAATATATATATATATATATATATATATATATATATATATACATATATATATATATATATATATATATATATATATATATATATATATAAATTAATATTATTAATTTTTATATCTTAATATATATATATATATATATATTTATATATATATATATATTATGTATATATATATATATATATATATATATATATATATATATATATATATATATATATATATATATATATATATACTTAAATTTAGAAAAAATAACTTTTAATGGAACTTAAAGTTTCATGCCTATCGGCAATCATCAGCCATGAAATAAAACGCTCTGTTTTTGAAAAACTAAATATTTCTTAAATATTGAGCACTCTACAACGATCAAGAGTTTAGTATTTTTAATACTAAATCATACAACAACAATATATATATATATATATATATATATATATATATATATATATATATATATATATATATATATATATATATATATATATATATATTTAATCTTAATATATATATATATATATATATATATATATTAATTAATATTATTAATTTTTATATCTTAATATATATATATATATATTTATATATATATATATATTATGTATATATATATATATATGTATATATATATATATATATATATATATATATATATATATATATATATATATATTATGTTCTTTAGAGTTTTTAAAATTGTTTTGTAAAGAAAATGTCATCCATGAGAAGATCGCTTGTAAATGATGACCATGAAGCAGATTGTTGGGATGTTAGTTTGACTCTTGATAGTGTAAATGAGAAAGCTTCTCTTAGGCGTTATGTTGATGAGGCAGATACTCATGCGTTTCATTCTTTGGAAACTGAGTTTGTAAAAACTAAAAAAGGTTAAACTCTTCAACTTTTTAAATTTTATTTTATTATTTTTAATAAAGTTAAGAATAAAATAAATTAGATTTTTATTTACAAAAATTATTGTTTTACAAAGAATCATAGGTTCATACAAAGTTGGACACACAGTGTGCCCCTAAATAAATTAAAGATGTATTACAACAAAAAATATGATAGTAACAAAATTGATTCCAAACTGAGAAGATGAAGTCGTTTATAATAAGTCACATTTTAAACAATCTTCATTTTCTTCATGAATTGTTATTAACACCTTCAACTGTTTGAATCAATCCAATTTGTTATGATGACCTAACCAAATAGCAATATTCTTAAATTAACCTTATAGGTAGTGAAAGCTCTAACATATAAGGATCACAAGTTTTAAAGCATTTTAAAATTAAGTATGTTCTGGAGTTAGTTTCTAAGACAATATTAACAATATGTAATTTGTAGTTAAGTTAGTCCATAGTCACTATTAGATCTTTTGGGTATAAGTTAAGTTAAAGCATAGCACCTTGGCTATAGTAACCCTTTATAACTTTGCATAATGGGGCTCAAATTAGGGGTATCATGATTGCTTTTCACACCTTCACGATTAGTTTTTTCTTAAAAAAAAATATTTTCATAATTTTTTTTTTCTTTTCTAATTTAACATTTTTTTTTTTTTACCATCTCTAAAATAAATGTTCTTGTCTAAGTTTTTTATTAGAAGTCATAAAATGAGAATGTGCTAAGTTTATCTTTTGAATAGAAGTATGACCACTTGCTCTCTTGTGCTGAGACTTTCATTCAACTTAAAGCACTTTTGAATTTAAATTATTTTAAATCTTAATTTAAACTTAAAAAGTTAAAGGTTGTATGAGTCAGGAAAACATGAAGATGGGAGAGAGTTCCAAAGCGTTGAATTGCGGGGAAAAAAACTAGACAAATAAAAGTTTTTAGAACATGCAGGGGAAGATACAGTAAAAGAATGAAATTTTGCTGAATGATGAGTCAATGGAACTAGAGATGATAGCTCCTTTGAGCAGCGTCCATTATAGTATTTGTAGAAAAGAGAGAGATGTAACTTTATGACAATAGGAAATAGACTCAAGCTTAGCATTTAAATAGCTCAAACCAGCTCAAATATGACATCAGTATTCCATACAGGGGCGAATAAGAGGTTTGTAGAGGTAGAGAATGGAATCAGGAGAGAAAAAATGGCGAGCATGATAAAGAGAAGCAACCTTAGTAAATGCTAGTTTAGCAATCCATTGTATATATGGTTTCCATGATAGGTTAGTAGTAAACAATAATCCAAGAAGACTCAAAGAAGAGGACTAAGTGAGAGGGTTGCCATTCATCAATATAGGAATGTCAACAGTACTGCGATTGCTGTTTCTAGTAAATGAGTGAGTTTTTTTGGAGTTAAAATTTACAAGCCACTTTAAGTCCCAATCTGTTATAAAAGTGAGATCAGATTCAATATTGGCTGATTATTTTAAGTGATCGAAAAGAGAAGACTTTTTGTCAAGACAGGAGTATAAAGTTGAATAATCAGCAAAGAGAGCTACTTTAGATGCATGGTTGTCGGGAAGATCATTATTGTAGATAAGACACAAAATAGAACCAATAATAGGGCTTAAATAAAGATAATCTCAAAAACTTTCCTAGATACACCATATGAAACAAGCTTATGGAGAAGACCAATATGCCAAACTTTGTCAAAAAGCCTTTGTCAAGAGTAATAGCTCTAGCTTCTCGGCCTCCATCTAATGCATGATAAAATCTTTCAGTCGCAGCAGTTAGCCAACTGTAGATCAAAAGGATCGAAAACAGTATTGATTGTCATACTACAATTAAGTTACTCAACTTAATATACTCAAAGACTCGCTAAAGTTAGCTTACATATGTTTCTTTTTATATCTTATATGTTGTAACACATAAGCTTATAACTAAAAATCATTTTAACAAGTATTCCCAAATAAAATATAAAAAATGCAATACCATTTTCAAAATATTTTTAAATATGCAAGTTGTTTTTAGGATTTTTTGCAAAAAGACATCTATTTGAACAAAAGAATTTTAGTCTTCTAAAATTCTCTTATTCAAATGATTTTTGAAATTGAAATTAAAGAATTTGAAATTAAAAAAAAAAAAAATTGGAAAAATTTAAAAGAATTTTAACGCTCAATAATTATTAATTTAATGGCAGCGACATCTGTAATATCCAGTGGCATAGTGAGGAGTATTGAAAGTTGAACATAGATCTAGCTACAGTAGCAATATCAAATTTATATTATAGTGATTTTTTATTTAAATCATAAACATTTTTAATAGTTAATTATTTTTTATTCCTTTAAAATAGTTTTCAAAGTAGAAAATTACTATTGCAAACATTAAATAGTTAAACATTAATTAATTTTCAATAATTTTTAGAAATATTTTTATACTTAATTTGGCAAACTTTATTTGGAGAATTGGATTTTTTCACCTTTAAATTGGGAATTTTAATTTTATGAGCATTTGGGAATACCGCGTTTGACAGGACGCCACAGGGCTAGTTTACACCCTGTTAACACAAGTTGTGTTAATCAAAAATAATATAACTTGTCATAAGTTACTGTTATAGTTTACACCTCGTTACTGTTATAGTTAACTATAAGTTAACTATAAGTTAACTGTTATAGTTAACTATAAGTTACTGTTATAGTTTACACCTTATATTATAAGTTACTGTTATAGTTAACTATAAGTTACTGTTATAGTTTACACCTCATAAGTTACTGTTATAGTTTACCAACTACTGTTATAGTTTACACCTCAAAATTATAATTAAAAAAGTTTAAGCTGCAGTTGTAGTAAACTATTTTAAACTCCGTCATACAAGAGTATTATAAGATGATATTTAAATATGAGCAATGTTATGTTAAAAAAATAACAATTACAAAATAAAGTACAAATATAATATTTTATACTAACGCAAACCCCTTTTACTGTAAAATGGTGCTAGGGAGGAGAGGTTCAAAAGTTTTTTTTTGCGAATAGATTTTTTGTGTTACTTAAGCCCTGCTATGTAAAACTTTAGAACTCCATACATACAACATCTGGTATTATGTGAATATCAAGCCCAATACCTGGGTTCAATTTAATTTTTTATAAAATCCCGGACAAAATGTCCAATCAAAACATGTTTGGGTTGGATGGTGTATGATCAAATTTTTAAAATATAATTTTTACGGTTTTAAGGAACCGAGTTATACAATGGAAATCTTTGTCATGTTATACAGTTTATTTTAACATTAGTTTAGTGAAGTTTAGTTTCTTACATTATTATTAAGAATATTTCATCGCAGGTTTTTGTTTTTTAATAAAGTAGTTTCAATATAATATTGTATATTTTTTTAGATAGACTTAAATTTTCACGCTGTAACTGATAACGCTTTTTTTTTTTACAATTTGATAACAGCTGTTTTGATGTTTTAATTTAAATGCAATAAAAAAAATCGTTACGTTACGAATAACTTTTAATCATTGATTTTTTTAAAAGTTTTTATTTTACGCGAAGACTTTAAATAAAATCAAAAATAAATCATAATTATCGTAATGATTCTTTAAAGTATAAACGCATTAAGTGTAAATTAAATGTTATATTTAAATTTATTTTTTAATGGGTATGTATTTGTTATGATAAATTTAAACGGTTGAAACTATTTTTCCATATCTTTCAAAAAATCTTTCAAAAAAATATTTTTTTATGTTATTTTAAATTATGATTAAATTAAATCTTCCTATGATATAATTGCTTGATTTTTTTCATTTCTATTTTTACAAATAATTGTTCAAGAATTTTGAATTTTTTTATTTTTACAAAGAATTGTTTAAAGAATGTTTGAAAAAAAAACTTAAAAATATATTTTTTTCTTTTCAATAATTTATATTCACTTTTGAATAATATAAATAAAATTTGTTCATTTATTAAACAATCAATGGAAGCAATTAGTAAAAGCGTTTTGCCTAACTTGAATTAAACGTTTAAAAAAATAAGTAGTTTTACCTTCTGTTTTTTTAGTTTTATTTTAAAGCTAATTTATTTTCTTTTTTGTAGGAATAGTTTTGCTTATTCTTTAGTTTTTCAATTTTTTTTAAGTTTAACTTAAGGTTTCTTTTTTCAGCACATTTCTGAAACATTTAAATCATCCAAACATCTAAACAATCATGGTCAAGTTGTAAACAAAAAAAATCATTAACGCGGTCAGCAATAGCGTTCAATCGCGCGCCATTCCTACCCAAGCTTTATTTTGTAGAATTTAATTCCCGTCGGTCAAAATGTCTGATTACATTGTAAATTTACCAGACAATCTAAGGTTTTAGCTGGACAATGTCTGATGTCTAACCCTTAAATTGAGGCAATACTCCAATTAATTATAAATTCTAAAAAATAATATTTTTATTTTTATTTTTAAATATATACACGAGATTACCATACTAAGCCAATGTCAGGTCGACAAAAAATTTGTTTGGATTTTTTGCTTGTTGTTACAAAAGGGATAATGATTTATTGATTATAAGCATTGATTTTTAAGAGCTTATTTTTAGGCAACAATATTTTAAAGAATGTAGCAAATAAACTTTATGTAAGTACATAGAAAATTTAAAAATTAGTGATTTTTTAGTTTTGAAGTTTTTTTAATAACTATAAAAAACAGTTTATTTATTATATTTTTATTGGTTTAAATATAATGCAATTTGTTTTTAAAAAAGATTGACAGTTTACACCTGTTTACAGTTTACATTCTGTTGTTTTAATCTTTACTAGGATTAAGATTTGATTTCTCCTACTGTCGTTATTTTCAATTTTTTAATAAAAAATTGCACTCTTTTAATTGTAGCATAGTATGAACTTATAACTTTATGTATATAAACGTTATACTTTACACAGCTATTGCATACATATGAAAACATGAAATATGGCCTGAAAAGTTATTCTGATGTTCTGCATACAAACATTTCTGTT